TGCCACTGCCACTGCCACTGCCACTGCCACTGCCACTGCCACTGCCACTGCCACTGCCACGACCACCACCACTACCACTACTACTACCACCACCACCACCACCACCACCACCACCACTACTACTACTGCTGCTACTACTACTACTACTACTACTACTACTACTGCTGCTGCTACTACTACTACTACTACTACTACTACGGCTAGTCCTGCTAGCGGTACCGCTGCTGCTACTCCTCGTACCACTTTAGTACCAGGCACTGGAACCACTCCGGGAACCCGTGGTCACAAGTATGCTTACACCTAGTGCTACAGACGAATAGCGACTGCATTACAACACTCGTGACAGATGGAGTCGGTATTCACGAATCGGGACCAAAATCGCTCATACACATGAAGATGAGGAGGAGGTGCCGCGGCAGTCTAAATGCAATAGGCACATTGTGACTGTGACTTAGTGTGACATAGGATGGCTATGCGCATGGACAATTGAGGGAGTCGAAGAACCTCATCAGGTAAGAGGTGCTCCTCACGTGTTTTTTGTGATGTCTCTTCCGTCTTCGGGCCGCTTGTTGCACCGGGTCCGACGACTCTGCGCGAGACTGCGACATGGAAACCTACCTTAAGAACCCAAAACCCACTTTTTGGTAGGTTCTTATTATAAACCCTAATATGGGATTTATAGGCTACAAAAAAGTAGGTTTGGGGTTCTTAAGGTAGACTCAAGAAGGACCAAGTCAGAACAACCAGGACTTCCAAGAGCTCTCCGTGTGGCGGCTGAGGTTTCTGGCAGCGACGCGGTTCCTTCTCTTCCGCTTCCGCACAGATATTTGGTGGTTTGGAACATTCATGCCGCTAGAGCAGCATTTCTGCAATCCTGAAGCCTACGCCGTAGACTTTAGCTCGGCCACGTCTGCATTGAAACCCCTTATAAAAACCGAAGACCCTTCAACACACTTTAAGCTGTTAACCCTACGTGGGTTGGGGGTTTAGGGTTTAGGATTCACGGCCTAGTAGGTAAACCCTCCACTCCAGGCTGCCGCGAGGCTTCATGCTCTCGCTCTCCATCGTTATGGCGGGCGACAGTCCCTACGTCCAGGCGCGGAAAAGGGTCTAGGGTTTAGGGTTTAGGGTTTAGGGTTTAGGCACAGGAACAGTGAGGTTTGTGTCTCAATGATCACGTGAACTTTCCTCACACGGCAGAGTGAGTCGGTACTGTTAGGTAAGACCTCAATCTACGGTTTCGGGTTCAGGTTTTAGGGTTTACCCCGGGCCTCGGGGTCAGGACTTCGGAACTTCTTGCTTTGGTGATCCGGTAGGTGCCTCGGGCCATCCAAGTGTAAGGGCATTGGGGTCTTTAGGGATTCTAAGGGGGCCCCCAGTTACCCTAAACCCAAAGCCCCAGGGGTTCAGGGTTTAGGGGTTGCACGGGTTACGGGCTTATTCAGTTCAGGGCTTGGGACTACCGCTTCGGGGTTTCGTGTGAACCTTCCCTCTGTAATGCAGCACATTCAGGCGATCCCCCAAGTCTCACACCTCGCCCTAAACGCGGATCCCAATGTCCTGAAACGTAAAACCCTGAAACCCAAGCCCCTTTGTCGTGTTGCGTCAACGACGGAAGATGCTGCTCATTGTGTCCGTCATGCTGACCTACATGGTGGTACAGCTTCCGGGCAGGAAATGAACACATGTGCTGCCCGTGACGTGTTAGCCTCTCCGCCTTTTGATCACGTACCTGCCCCAGGAAGGTCGTGCAGCATCCATGCCATCCCCACTTTACCAATGAAGAGCTGCATCAAGGTTCGAGTGTTATTCAGGTCAAAGAAAGAGATGATATATGCATGGGCCTTAATAATTAGACTAGGGTATGGGGCATATTGTACTACATTTATAATAAGGAGCCCCCAAAAAGCCCTATTCTAATTATTAATGGCCCCTACATTAAGTAGGTCAAGGCTCTGCTTCGGGTTTCCGAGGAATTCCCAGGCTTCCAGCACAAGCACGCGAAGCCATCACGGACCTAAGCCCGAAGCCGCGCTTGATGCCAGATGCCTCTAATCTACATCCGCTGCCTACCCAAAGGCCCCATGGTGGTTCCTTTTTGTGGTTTGTATTTAGGATCCCATTAGGTAATCCCAAGAAGGAACTACTATGGGGCCTATGGGTAGGCCCTATACACTTGGGTCTACCCTAAACCTCGAAACCCTCTCGTCTTCAGTCGGACCTTGCCTGGCATTGTCCGGGCGTGTCAAGAAACCATAGTCTTTTGAAGCCCGACATAATGAACCCTACCTATAAGCCCTATAAACCCGAAACCCCATAATTTAAAAGCCCTATAAACCCGAAACCCCACATATAAGCCCTATAAACCCGAAACCCACATATAAGCCCTATAAACCCTATGACCCCTATAAACTCTACACCCTCAAGACGAAGACCGAGCTCCTCGTGTCTCACTCGAATCGGTTGAACAAGCCCCGTCAACCTTCAAACGCACAATACAGTACATTGCACTGCTGTATGTTTACATTGTTAAAAAAGCATGTAACGGAAGGTTTCTGCATGATTTTCAACCTTCAGAAGCCAGCTTGCTTTCATCTGTGCTGGGTCGGGCATCATGATCATATGAAGCCGGGCTTAGATTTGTGGTTGAGGGTTTAGGGCTGCAGGGTCTCGTTTGGGGATGCACGGAATACAAGCGCTGTAGGAGATCTTAGTCAACCGGAAGCAGCAGTGCAGCAGCAAGAGGCGCGGACACAGCAGTGACAGCTATGGCGACAGTTGCAGGCAGTGACCGAAAGTACAAAGGCAAAAACCTCAGCAGCAGTAACCCTCAACTCTAGACTCTGACAAACACAGTGACCCGTTTAATACCAGCAGCCAGAAGAGGGCGACAAGTGTGTTTCATTCCCACCTTTTACAATATACCATAGCCGCCACAGCCTCACTTGTTGTTTTCAGACCCCTAGTTTACTCGTCGTTGCGGTGATACTTCGCACAGCATCAAAGTTGTCGGTGCCAGTTGCCTCAACACACCATTCCAGCCGTCACCGCGAACCCACAAGCCCACGACAAGAGCCACCGTCTTCGACACCGACATGCTACCGTTTAAGCCCTTCTGCCGAATCGAGGCTGATCTCATGGCCTTGGAAGCTACCAGCACTAAATGCCTTCGACGCTGTCATCAGCGTCGCACTGATTCTCATGCCTCCCGGAAGATTTGTGTTTGCGGCTTAGGGCGGTTTAGTTTAGTTCGGGCTGGAGCTCTGAACGAACCAAACGGATGTGCTATGCTACCTTGATGACTTTTGGATCTTTTGGAAGGTATGAGCCAGTGCACTTCATATCCCGTTCTATAGCCTTGCATTATATGGACAGTGACTGGGGTCATCTAGTGATTGCGACTAGTCTGCCCCCCACCCACGCCCACACCCCCGAAGGCAAACACCACCTGGTCTCTTTCGGCAACTTGCCAAGTTCCCCGGGGGTTAGGATCATGGCCCCTTGCTATTGCTACTACTTCTACTACGGCTGCTACTACACTACTCTTAGCTTTTTTGTTGTTACTATCGCCAATATTGGTCAGTGTTGTTTGTTCCCTTGTTGTCATTACCATGCCTGTTCTTGTTGCGTAGTATTATTGCTACTATTATAACTGCTGTCATTACTCTTTGTTGTTGATCTTTGAACTTACAGTGTAACAGTGTTCTTGTGCTTGCATATGGCCTGGTAGATAGGGCTCAAGCGTTGACGGTCTTGGGTGAAGGGCTTACATCCTACATGGTCATTACGTGGTTAGCGGCTTTTGTCGCTTTATCGTATAAACTGATAACGGTCGCTCAGGGGATAGATTCAGAATACGGCAAGACTGGTGCCATTGGGTACTAGGTTACAACCTCACAATCGGAATTTTAGCGGGCGTCTGTAGGACGTATTGCTACTTTTCAGGGCTCCGGGCCGAGCAAAGGAGAACACACTAAGATGGCGTTGGCAGACGAGCCAATACTGCAACTAGCCCAGAAACCGAATAACCGTCAGTTTGAGACAAGGGAGACGTAGATACTCCATGGACCACACCTCAAGCTGCCTTGTTATGCTTCATTCAACGGAGATTTGGGCCATCGATCAGGGCTTACAGAATGGTTCCATACGATTTGATAGGATTATCAAGAATTGAACATCGTTTTCTAGCATTTAGGATTCCAATATCCCCAACGGTAAGGCTGCAGGGTGCTTATGGGGTCCTAGGGGGGATATATAAGGGCCCAAGTATCCGACCATTGACGCTTGTAAATGCCAAAAACCACGCATGGTGCGGTACTTCAGGCCGGAAGCCCTGTCTTCCTCTGAGGATGGCAATTCTGGGTGCTTTCGCCCCAGACTTGAGCTCTGACATCCAGCAAAGGCCAATGGGCATGCCAGCTCATGCGTGTTTATTATGGTCGTGTGTACATACATACAGACATACATGCATGCATTCATACAGTACATTACATTACATTACCTTACATTACGTTACATTACGTTACATTACATTACATGACACTACATACACTACATACACTACATACACTACAAACACTACATACACTGCATACACTACATACACCACATACATACATACATACATACATACATACATAGAGACATACAGACATACACACATACACACATACACACATACACACATACACACATATACACACATACGTGCATACATACCATACATACCTGCACGTACACACATACACACATACACACATATACACACATACGTGCATACATACCATACATACCTGCACGCTGAGGTGTGTGCTTGGCGCATGCATGCATATATCTTCAGGCATGCATGCACATGTGTATGTGTATATATATATATAATATGTGTATGTGTGTGTGTGCGCGAATATTTTTTATGTGTATGTATGTATTCATGCATGTATGCATGTATGCATGTATGCATGTATGCATGTATGCATGTATGCATGTATGCATGTAAGCATGTATGCATGTATG